CCCTTTTATAAGTTTCCCCCACCCCGGCACCCCCGCGCGGAGATGATGCGCATCGTTGGGATTTTCTGGTGAAAATGATCGGCGGACGATCAAGCGAAAGAGGTGGTAGCTAATGACGTCATCATGATATCTCGGGTGCGCGGATCGCCTTTGGATTCCCTATATGTGGTAATCAATCGTCACACTGCACCATGGCCCCGAGGTATTGGGCCGCGGTTGGTTCACCCCACTTCACCCACAGCGATCATGGCGGAGCGAAACGGGAGGAAAAAACACATCATCAACAAGCATACCGCTAGTCAGTACTTAGTCCTAGCCGAAAATTCCCACATGAAGTACGTTGAAGAAAAAAAGATTTGTTGCCCCTTTGACCATGTAAAATGCTCTCAATAAAGTTCAGAGATTCTATCTACCACGGTTTTGGATTGATCTTATGGGCTGAGCGAGACGCCTTAAAACCACTCTGCAGACCGACGGGGCGAGAACTCTAGATACTGACTGGTTCTGATGCTCTTGGTAAAAAAAGTAGCTTTAAAGCATGTTGATGGAGAACTCTCAGTATGATGGTATCAATTTGCATGGTCCGGGAATCGAACCCGGGTCTGCCGCGAACTGCTAATGCGATTGCTCACATACTGGCAGGCGGCAATTCTACCACTGGACCAACCATGCGATGGTTTGGATGGTCTTTCCATAGACTTTGAACAAAACTCGAGCCTAAGTTGTAAGATTGAAAGAAACGCAGCACACAGGCATGAATGCAAAGCAAAATGCTTCCTTCAGAAGACAAGTCGAAAAAGGGAACGGCACACTCTATTCAATTTCAATCTTAGGACTCTGTTGATGAATGACACGACACATCTGTTTCTGTTTCATCCGAGGATCGGTAATCCACGCGTGGTGGAGCATGCATAACCGTGTTCGGACCGGAAAGGAGACGAATCAAGTCCAAGTCCTGGTCTTTTTCAATATTGGAGAGACCTGTACATAGTGGTGGGACGAGCTACGGGGTATTGGGGTCAGGTTCGTACTCTATTTTGATCATGAAACATGTGACAGCTTACGGAAAATTACGCTTTCGCGTGGGGTCACACTTACCACACGCTTTCCCGCTTTCTTCATTCTCTTTGCTTCACTGAGGAGCCAATAGGCAAAATTTCCAGGCCGCAGTTTCTTTCTTTTCATTGCTGCGATGGTTTCGTCCGATGCATGTTCGCGCTTGGCCAACGACATTGGCGGTAGTGGTGAAACTATTTTCAAGGAAGGAAGGAAAAAATGATATGATCACGGAAAATCAGTATGGCTTAACGAGCCACCCCACAACTTAGGGCAAAGACTTACAAATTTCTTGCTCCAACCGCCGTCTACGTTCGGCAATTAACCGGAGCCTTTTTTGTGTCAAGCTGTTCATCATTTTCACCCGTAACTCGCCTCGCTTGTTCTAAGTCCGACCATTCTTCAGAAACAGCATTGACAAGATATCCGTCGCTTGGATAACTCACAATGAAAGTATCGTTGGCCAATCTGACAGACGCATCAAAGACTGCATCGTAACTCTTCAAACAGTGTCGTAATCGATCCGCGGATTGACTCAGTTTTGCTTCCTTGCGTTCCTCAATTTCGGCAAGTTCAGCCAGAAGATCCGGGTGTGTTCCTGGTAGGCAACAAACAATATGTCAGACGGGCAGTTCGCGGACACAGTGTTCAGCCGAGTCAAATTCATTGGTACCATTCTCTATCAAGTGCTGTTCAAGTTCAATTTCTTGGATTTTCATCGATGTGATTCTAGAGTTGCGAAAGAACGATTTGGAATGAGATCAAGCCTGCCTGAAAGCAGTCAAGGGAAGCCAGACCTACTTTTTGCAGAGAGCTTCAGCATCTTGCCTGATTGTCTTTACAGCTGCTTTGCACCGATTGGCTTTATCAAGCACTTCCTCGATTTCAGCTGCGTCTTCCTGACTCCCGTTCAGCTCAGCGGCTGCGTTGTTACCGTCGCCGTTGACGGATGCCTCAACTACAGGGTCCAGCCCGACATCCCGTCCATCCGGTCCACCAGCGTTTCGAGATACTGACAAGGCCGCGAAATGACTTCCACCCGCATCCGCGTTTTCAGGAGTCCCATCCTTTCCAGTTGTGCCACCCGCACAGTCCCCACTATCACTAATCTCCTCAATTTTCACAACGCTGCTTGGATTTCTTCCAGCCCGTTCGCTCACCCCAAGCATCAATACCGCCGTTCCACTCTTTCTCATTGGAACGTACAAGCGCTTTGGCGGTGGTTCCAAGTCATCCTCGCGCCCCCGCTTTTGCCTCCTGGCCCGCTCTACAGGCGCAGGGGACGGCAATCGTGCAGGTGATGCAGCGTCTTTCCGGTGGGAATCGTGGTCATCCTCGTAGGTTTTTTTGCGTTTAGAGGAGCGGAAAGGGATGGTTGAAGATTTCATGGTTGAAGTGGGCAAGGCTGGGAGAGAAGCTGTCGAGTGGCGGGAGCGGGTGGTGCGGGTGGTGCGGGTTGAGGACATGTTTCTTGTTGCCTCCCAATCAGAGCCATCGGATGATGTATGCCCCTCTTCCTCCTCTTCCTCTCCCTCCTCAAGTGTCACAACGTCTCTGGTTCTTTTGTTGCCCAGCCGCGCCGGTACCCATCTCCTGTCTGGGGGGGGATCGGGTGACCTGCGAACGCTTCCCTTCGCACGGCGTGCGCGAAGGGCGGTGGTGGACATTCTGGTAACAGCGACGGGGTGCTGCGTGACGAGTCGAGTGGAAGGCGGTCGCAGGTTGCAGTTGCGGCAGCGAGTGTGGGCGGGCGCAGTTCTAGAAGGTGAGGAAGAGGTCAACCGAGTCCGGTCGGCGAGGGAATGTGCGGCAGACGTTGACTGTCGACAACAAATGGAGGTCGTTCAAGGGTTGGTGAAGGAAAGAAGGCAAGGCTTCTGCAGGTCCGGCCTGGTTTGAGGAGTGTGCAGGAGTGTCCTTATGGACCCAGTTTGACGGCAGCTTCTGCCCTGTTTTAGAGATAGCTCGGAAAGTGAGAGCACTGTCGCGGGCGGTTGACAAACGCACATGCAATGTGGGGAAGTGTGTTTCTGGACGAGCTTGAAGAGAGGGACGCGAAAAATTTACCATTTGGATGGTGGGGCTTCAACATCTGAGAGTAAACAAACCCCGCAGCGTCAACGCCAGCAACGCCCAGGCCGGAGTGACGAAATATACAGTTGAATAATATTGGACTACAACTGGACGTGGCACAATAGGTAGCTGCGAGACGGATGAGGGAGGGCATCGTCGACATGGCAAGGGGCGAAGACGCGACTATTGAGCTTCGAACATTGTTATTATACAGTGCAGCGCCCGGACTTTCGAATCCAGTAAAAAGGGAAATAATGAAAAAATACTCTTTAAAATAGTGATTTGAGGCCTAAGAACTTGTACATTACAACAGGAGACATGCTCCGTAAGAGAGTCGAAAGAGTTGCTAGTAACTACGCTTCTTATTCTGCCTTTACGCGCGCTCAAGGATGATGGCAATACCTCTGCCTTTACGCGCGCTCAAGGATGATGGCAATACCCTGACCGCCGCCAATGCAAGCGGATCCAAGGGCGTATTTGCCACCGGTGCGCTGGAGTTCGTGGGTGAGGTGGGCGGTGATACGGGCACCAGACGCACCCAGAGGGTGGCCGAGAGAGATGGCACCACCGTTGGTGTTGGTGATGCCCATGTCAAGGTCCAATTCCTTCTGGACGGCAAGGAATTGCGCAGCGAACGCTTCATTCACCTCGATCAAGCTCATATCCTTCAGGGACAGACCAGCACGCTTCAATGCTCCACGAATGGCGGGGACGGGACCAATACCTACGGGGGACATTGCGTGAGCTTTTTGCGATCGTCTTTTGGGGTTCGTAGACATCTCCAACATACCCATGATTGAGGGGTCCACGCCAGCGTAGTGCCAGTTCACGACACGGGCAAGGGGCTTCAGGTTGTATTTCTTGACCGCCTCCTCGCTGGCAACCACAAGACTGGCGGCACCATCGGAGATACCCGAAGCGTTCCTAACGTAAGGGGAAAAACGCGTCAAAAAAATCGCCCATAAAGCCCTCCTGTACACTCAATGGAAAAGCCCACTTACCCTGCCGTGACCGTTCCATTCTCAATAAATACGCTTTTCAACTTGCTAAGTGACTCAATGGTGGTCTGCGGTCTAGGATGCTCGTCGGTCTTGAAAATCTCGACTCCCTTCCGTCCCTTCAACTCAATAGGCTCAATCTCAGCGTCGAACCGGCCAGCCGCGTTCGCTGCCGCCCATCGCTGTTGCGACAAGAGGGCAAATTCGTCACAGTCTCTACGAGTAATGTGGTATTGCTTGGCAAGGTTCTCGCCCGTGACACCCATGGGAGTCTTTTTGGGGAACGAGTCGACGAGACCGTGTGCAAGAGTGTCCTCAAGCTTCAAGCTGGACAACGTTACGGTGACAAGAAAACATTGAGTCCATAATGAACCGACCAACTGCAATATGCAAACGTCCGCAAAAAGCAAGTTACTTACTCGGATCCGTATTTGGTTCCAGCACGCACGCCCCTCAACGCATATGGCGCTTGAGTCATGTTCTCCGTTCCGCCGGTCAATACAACCTCTGCTTCCCCGGCCAAAATCTCCTGGGCACCGTTGATCACAGATTGGAACCCAGACCCGCAGAGACGGTTGACTGTCAACGCGGGGGACTCGATGGGGACGCCGGCGCGGTGGCCGACATGGCGGGCAAGGTAGGCGGCGTCTGTTGGATGTGTGAGACATGGTCGGTCCGACCCCAAAAGCAGATTCGCATAAACTACGCACCAGCGGAAGTTTGAATGACGTTTCCGTAAATGACGGAGTCAACCTTGACGTCCTGTGGAAGAGTCTTGAGCGCCCCAACGGATGCCAAACCCCCCAGCTCGGTCGCATTCAACCCGCTCAATTTTCCGCCGAAACCACCGAAGGCCTAAATTTACATGAAAAGGGCACGTATGCACTCCTCTGATCAGCGGAGAACTCAGGCAAGAAGGGAACGTGTTTCTCTTTACGTACCGTGCGTTTCGCAGCAACTGTTGAAAGACGGCAACAAACAAGATGACAAGAATGAGTACACGAGTTTGCGAGAGATCAGACCGCCACGAGCTGCACCTCCCCCCGTCAGCACATACCGATGTAGATGTTCTTTGCGGCTGTGGACATTGTGACTGACTATTTTCTCTCGTAAACGGTGGGGGTTGGAAGGGTGAGGGGAGTATCTATATGAAAGGGCCGTATTTGAAACTTTTGAAACCACGGCAACGAGGCGATTCTTATGGAAATCGCGTGAGCTTGTCGTGGGCGGCTTCTGGGCGTGACAGGCTTGACCGGGTTATTGACACGTGAATGTCCGAGGATGAATTTTGTGCCGCTGTAAACAAAATACCCATACTCAGGTGAGCGCGTCTGAGGCGCCATGATGTGTCGCTCCTTTGGCAGCTTTCACGCCTGTTAGCTTGTTGATAAGTTCTTGAAGAGCGTCAACCGTTCGTCTTGGTCCAACCTCCCCAGAAAACTGAAAGCAATCGAATGGGCGCAGAAGCGCTGTATCCTTCGGCACATTCTCCCTCTTACTCGTTATTGCAGCAGCCATGATCGCCGTGGGATGGAGTGCTCTCCA